TGACAACTGTGATTGTTCTCTGTCACCGAGGCTTAACGCAGAACTAGCGCGTTGACTGTCGCGTCACCCACGTTCGGTCGACATCAAAGGTGAAATGGTTTCTGATCCGACAGTGTCACCCATATTCGGCTGACGATTATTTCACTACTTGCGAACGATCGTCGTAGATATTTGAAAAGATATTGCACAGGAAGTGATAAAACTATTGAATTGTTATAAAAGAGAATTGTTTATTAAGAGAATTATTTAGAATGTAAAACTTTAAAATATTCTATACGAAGCTGAGGTTGGTCGGCAGACAATTTGGACAATAAGTTGTTGTTTTCTTTAAATTCTCTCGTGTCTTTCACCGGTCCATTCAACGTCTTTTATCTGCATAACATAGTTTGCATGCGCGTCCAATGCTTCTTCCGCAATCAATTCGTTTTTATCATCTTCAGAAAATATTTTCTTGTAAAATATGCACATTGCATCATTTGATTCTGATCGACTATTTCACTTGTCTGGTTGGGTATTAGCCAAACCATCTACTTTAATTGGTGTCGTTATTGATTTCCTGTTTCTTTTACTAAGCAATGCAGTTTCTTTCGAGATGTCGCAGAGACAATTATCTTTATACGATGATATCGTTAATAATGCAGAACTTCCGGCTTTACGGTATCGATTCATAGCCCTGGGTTTAACACGTTGGTCGTCACGTCACCCATATCTATGTGACGGGTATACTTCCGTTGGAGAGGGGGGGGGGTGTCACCCAAATATGAGCGACGCTCTTCTTGTTCGAGTTAATTAACACGTTGGTCGTCGTGTCACCCGTATTTATGTGACGGGTATACTTCCGTGGAAGCCCCGTCACCCAAGTATGGATGACGCTCTTCTCGTTCGAGTTAATTAAATATAGGATATTATATATAGGATATACAACATGAAAATATTAAAAACATATTATACCGTACTTTCTATTAATTCGTATTCTGGATAAAATATTACATTATGCTATATCGCATGGTATTTGTTTAAACGTTCCAAACGTATTTGGGCCGATTTTGGGCACTTCGAACAATAATTGTAGACTTCGTCATCGCTACTCTCCTCACTTTCAAATATATTTTCACGCTGTTTACTGAAAAAAATAAGACATTCGGCCCCGAACCGCGTGACGAGAAAGTCGAAAGAAACGGCCACGTTTTCACCGAGAAACCGACCGAGCGACGCTATTGCGTATCGACGTTAACAATTAACCGATGTTAATTGCAGACTGTACGTTGTTGTTATTTGTTTAATAAACGTTAGTGGTTAAACGTCACCGAGTGTACTTCAGTGCCTATCACACCATTTCACCTCATATAGGATATTATATATAGGATATACAACATGAAAATATTAAAAACATATTATACCGTACTTTCTATTAATTCGTATTCTGGATAAAATATTACATTATGCTATATCGCATGGTATTTGTTTAAACGTTCCAAACGTATTTGGGCCGATTTTGGGCACTTCGAACAATAATTGTAGACTTCGTCATCGCTACTCTCCTCACTTTCAAATATATTTTCACGCTGTTTACTGAACATTTTCAGGATGAAAAAATCACTGATGTACGTCTCACAAGTATGCTTTTCGACCAAATGAAAGATCTGAGATATCTGCCACGAGATCCCTCGGAATACTCTAGCTGGAAAGCTTATCGCTTTCTCCATTTCAGAACTAAATAATCTTTCCTTTACAATGAATCGAAGGCGATAAACAACGAATACCCGCTTGTCGCATCTATTTACGTTCTGCGTACCAACGCTCGGATTTGGGCCCGCAAGAAACTTAGCCGAACCACGCTGGACGACCAACGTGTTAATAGATGGGATTGGCGATATGTGATCAGGACTTTCGATCGAAATGCTTGATATTAGGCTGGTGTCTCGAAGAACCTGAATATTGGAAGTGCCTGAAGAAGAACTCTGTGACATCGAATCAGCTACAGTTGTTGATGGAGTTAGGATAGTTTAATATTCTATCTATTATTTTCAGATGCAAATTGCCTTCCTTCGTCAGTCAAAGAAGCTGCATTTCCAGTTAATGCAGTAAAATCTGCTTTTGGAAAAGTTTCTTTGTTCAGTGGATAAATTCCAGTCGCTCGGGTTCAGTTTATTGCTATTTCAGCTCTTTGTACTTTTATGTACGTCTTCTCTAATAGTTCTGCCTCGATCAAATATCAAAAGGCCTCGATGTTTTTTGTTTTTGACGCAGAAATAATCGCATCTCTTCAAAACTTACCACAGAGTAAGTTCTCTATGGCCTTATGAAAGTTTTATTAAAAAGCTGAAGTTTCTGTGTAGAATGTGATGGTAGGTATACGATTGATACAAAATTCTTTTTGGCCAATTCAATTATACTTACATTATGGATGTGGCTGTAATGTCCATCCAACAAGATAAAAGATTCTTCTAGAGGTTTAATAAAATTAGCGAAGTGTGGCAACCACTTTGTAAAGAGTGGTGCTTGAATTCAGTCAGATGGATGATATGTACCGATCGATCTATTGAGTTGGCAACTAAGTGATATGTTAGGTGACCGTTAGATGGTAATGACAAAATCCGCGATCACTTAGTTACCAACCAAATACATGGTACCCTCCTCATAAGTACACTATTTTCATTTTTCCTCGGAAAAGTGACTACAGGTGGCACAAAATTTCCTGCTGCATTCAGGCAATCAACAGTACACAACCATTACCAATGCACCAGATTTTGCTGCTGTTCGTTTGCCCTTTTCCTTTAGGACAACAACTTTTGGTATTTTTAACTGTACAACGGTAAGCATTGTCCCATTAACATTGTAAATTCAATCAAGAGTATAACAATATTTGTCATACTCTTAATCAATAGTAGCAAAAAAGCATTTACATTTTCTCTACTGAAGCTGATAGTTCTGGCAGCTGAAGGGTCTGTTTAATATCTTCAGTGAAATCTTATCTTAATGACGGGTCAAAAAACAGTCTATTGAGCCTCTTCCAGCCGTGTTATTCTGAGAAGGATACTTGATATCATTTGTAATCGATAGTCAATGGTCTATTAATTTGATATGTTATTAGTTGTTCCATGGAATTTTTATTTCATTTTCAAGATGTAATTAAGTAATTGAGTTTCGAAGTCATCTCCTAAAATTCTTTCAAGCTATATTCTTAGTACTGATACTTTTATTAACTTTAGAGCACATATATGGGATTATGACATGATTGTTGATCGTGACATGTTAAATACTTTTGCTGTTTTAAAGTGGCCAAACTTTTTTAATTTGACAGCCTTAATAGCTTGTATCGTATCTTCTCCAAAATAATTCTTTCTTAAACCTTCCTTTTCTTTATTCAGTTTCGTTCGTGGCATCTGAAGAAACGATCGAAGCCATTTTGTAGTTTAATTATAAATTATAATATGTATAAATAAATTATAAAATTATAACTAATTATAATTATGATTATAATAAAATTATAATATGTAACAAATTGTAATAAATAATAATAAAATCTACCAATCAAGAACCTTACATTTCATTTTTCACCAATTTGCATTTCATTTTCTCTTATAATAATGTATTATAATCAAAACACAAACACTTCAAGTACTTTTGGATATATTAAAACCATGATTATTATATAACTTACTTTTTTCTTTTTTTTTTTGATCATAAAATATACCAAAGTAAATTTCACTTTAAGAAGCATTTGTACAAACTTTCTATTATGGCCAAAGGATAAAATATCTGTTAAACAAAAAAATTCATCGAGAACGGTTGCTATCTACCATTATTATCCTACTCGTCCCGATTCTGAACATACACGTACCCATACACTTCTACATAAAATTAAACAGAAATAGGTACAGTACCATAACTATTGATATTGTAGGAAAAAAAAAAAATAAAATCGGCCGATTGGGTTGCTGGAGCGGGATTTGAACCCAGAACTTCCACTTGTCGAGTGGTTACATCGTAATCTTTCTTTCTTTAACGATTATTTATCATCGGGTATCAGCCTTTGGTTGCATCAATAAATGAATAGGTGAGACCCTAACTGTTTATACTTATTGATCCTTATACATATTCGGTTTAAACATTTCATATAGATCTCGGTGTGTGTTGTGTGTGTTGTATAATTGTGTTCGTATTTTAACAAATAGTATTTGTATACAAGTTGCCATTTTGTCTCGTCTTTTATGTCAGAGACTCTTATGGAAAAATATATAATAGTATATAACAAAAATCATTAAATTACTCTGTTGGATTAGCCTAAGCTCTATCCTAGATTATATTTTAAGACTATATTTTTAAGGTTTATTTACATATTTATATATTGCACGTTATTGACGACGTGATGTATTTAGTTTTCATCGTTATGTGCCTTTTTGTTGCGTCTTCTCCCCTGGCTTGTGGTGATTGTTGCATCTTTGTCTCCTGACTTCTTTCGTCTCGTTTCCATATGTGTTGTATTTATTTGTTCTCTTTCGTGAGCCATCAGTATCCTTCGTGTGTCCTGTGAGTATCTCCTCTGTTACATGTTGGCGTTTCTCTGAAATATTTAAATAACTGTAGGTGTCTTTGCGAAGCGCGTCAACGGGAGTCGCAAATTTCCGTTACGATTAGACAATCGACGCCACGAACTGATCGATCCCCTATTTCTATTAGGATAATAGAAGTAGCTTAATAAGTAGAATGCTTGATTAACAATTCAAAGATATTATATATTTCCAACAACTTTGTAGAGAAGCCAGTTACGCTGGTGCGTAAGGTGACTGATCGAAGGGTGGAAACCCAGTAAAGAGACGTTGACTGTTCTAAAGTCGATGAACCAGTGAAGTCCGGTGACGATGCTATCGCAAAGGAAAACTCTTACTTGGTGGTGATCGCCCCACTGCTGATCGCTTGCGCGTGGAATCCCGGGAAACATGGGAAGATCCACGTTTCTCCAATTTTTACCTGATGGGGCGATAGCCATAAGGAACCTCTCGACTCGAAGATATTTTATGCCAATTGACGGCCTTGACGATAAATCAAAAAGCCTCGATTTATGACAGTTCCTTAGGATTATCGCGATCCGCTTAATTCTATGTACACAGCTGGTGGCCGCCTCGAACGTAAAGGGTCATCGGACGTAACAGTAAGTGTGTGAAAAGTTTGGTTCCTTTCTTTGTCTGGTTTCTTTTGCCTCCGTGGCTTCTTGGTCAGTGGTACAGGATTGGAATGTTGTCTGTGTCTGGTATCAGTTGCATAGGATTTGGTTTGGTGTATTCTTGAGCTATTATGTAGCCTATGGCGAGGGATTTGTTTAGGTATGCGGTGTCTATTTCTGCGAGACTGTAGATTATTGTATTTTCTTGTTACTCCAATGGCGTGGTTGTTTATTCTTGGCATCTCTGCTTCTTTATGTGTCTTTTTGTTGCTTATGTATTTAAGAGAGTTCTCGCTGATCGGCGTTTCTCAATGGAATATCTGGGGCAAGCTCTTTCGAACTTTTTGATTATTTTCCAACCGGCTATGTTCAAGTTGAACCACATTGCGGCTGCGTAATTATTGACACGATAGGTAGCACATAGCGCAATACAAGATATTCTTTTTTCTACATACAAGATATTCAGCTACAGGTGTAAAAAGATTTAAGGGGTGATTTTTGAAGTTAAAATTAGACAAAGATCAGGAATAAAAAAAATTGCGTCTGCAGCTTCGTTTTTACTTATCCACAATTAAAAATCGATTGAAATGTCCTTGTGCGAGAGCGAATCTCTTTACGCGGATAAAAGTAGGTCACCTTGAGCAGAGGGATGCACAGAGATTTTCAAATCGAACGAAACGTACACCATCCTGCGCGAAAACGTTCTTGCGGCAACGAAAATTCGTAGATTGAACATTAAACCTGCTTACTGATTGAAATCCATAACGGCATATCGAAAATCTGCTATGGGATTTCCGATTAGAGGGGATTAATGTTTCCTCTAATCTTTTGCTTCCATAAATAATTAGTAAACAAAAGCATATATTAACAATGTTTATGCAAAGTTCGCACATCACGATTGTCCCATCCGCGGATGTCCACAGTCAAATCACACAAGGAAATGGCAATCGTTTTATATTTAGTATTATTAGTAAATGTTCTATATAACGAAACGCAGTATAAGCAGAATACACACAATAAGCACTACACAAATTTCACATCCAAATCACTCGCGTTGGAACTAAATAAAAAAATTGAGAAAGTAACAAAAGATACAAAAATAAAGGAAATGAAAACGTTCAAAGAACTAGAAATGAAAAGGCTAAAAAAAATCGACAGCAGAATAAGTTAAACCTATACTTAATCTATATTTAACTCTAACTTTATGTTTATAGAATTCTCCTAATTGTTTTTGGCTGTCGAAATGGTTCTATCTTTTCAGAATAGTTTTACCTTCTTACCAACTTCCTGAAACTACCAAAACGTGTTACTTAACAAGGTAGCAGTGGAGATTTCATTCCGAAAATATATTTACAATATCCTTCGCCAAACGCCTTCGTTTTTGGTATAGCTCGAAATTAGTCAGGAACAACCACAGTATCTAAAATATTATCTTATATAATATTATTATACAGGGTGATTGGTAACTGGCGGTACAAGCGGAAAGGGGGTGATTCCACGCGAAAAAGGAAGTCGAAAATATAGAATACAAATTTCTCGTTCGAGGTTTTGCACTTTATCGCGTCTCGTTATAACGGATCTCACTGTAGATCGTTGTCTCGATGGAAAAATTAAAAAAAAAAAAAACACTTCTATTCTATATTTTCGACTTCTCTTTTCGCGTAGAATCACCCCCTTTCCGCTTGCACCACCAGTTACCAACCACCCTGTATAATTATATAATTATATAAGATATTTCTTAGTTTAATTAACTATTATTATATAAGATATTTCCTTTAAAATGTACGGTTGGGCGTGCCTATTGAGAAAACAAATAGGTTGCACACCAGGTGTGTTTAAAATGGTTAGAACTGCCTTGCAAGGCTAGTATTATTTTGGCAACGAAAGCGAGAACTTAAAAGAGCTATTCAACGCGATAAATATAATTTGTCATTCGATTATACATTAATTGATATTATTACGCATTACTCCATAAAACGAGAGCTTAATCAATCCTTCGAGTATAAATCGAAATAATCTTTTCGTAGCTTTCTTGCGTTTCTTCACTTTTTATTGCATGTGTATGTATGTATGTGAATATCGATGACTTTTTGATGAGCTTTTGCTTCTCTTGCTGGTATTGATTGGCGGATTTTCTGAATTCTTTACGAATTTCTTTTTGACTCTTTTCAGTATGCTGTGGGGCATCTGTATTTGCGGGATTTGTCGAGTTACGCGATTAGCTACGATTACTTTTTATATCCTCCTGTTTATATACTTTTTAAAGTTATATCCCATAGTGTTTTTTTCGTACGATTTTCTGTGCGGCGGAATATATTAAGTTGTTAATGTCTGTTAGTTAATTGGCCATTTGTTTTTCGAACTTGGTCCAGTCAGCCTTCTTGTATTGCAGCCTGATTGTGTTTGACGCTGTTGCTGCTATAATTTCTATTACTTTGTGATCGCTGTTGTAATTTGCGGTTTGTAGCTTACCGTTTATTGTCCGTGCTAGATATATTCTGTTGTCTGCTGTTCAAATGTCCAGAAAGGAGCCCGCGCTTGGAAATGATACATATTTACATACATATATACATATCTTTAATTTATAGTGTATTTATCTTTCGCTTGCCCAACTGCGAGTGAAACCGCCTCTGAGATTCGCTGCTGTGTCTTCCTGCTGCAAGGATATAATAGTTACTCGTTGAATTTTAGATCCTAGTACACCGAAATTCGTCTTTTTTACTATTTGAACCTTATTGTTGTATATGTGTATAGGCACTGATGATGTAGTGTTGTTGCTTTCCGTGTGGTCTTTAGTATCACGGTTTCGAATATCTTGTTTCTTTTTATTGCGGTGGGCTGTATTTATACGTATGGTATGTGTTTCTCGATTAGGATTGCTAATACCTCCTTGTTTGGCATTCGATCTGTTCGATCTTAATATACTGTAGTCTGCGCTAGTGTGTTATTTAGTTTAGTTTCGCAGAGTAGGGGTATGTCTGGTTTCTTTTAATCTAGCAACTTTTTTAGGTTGTATCTCCTTATGCTCCTTATAATTGATTTTAAGTTGGCTATGTTGGATTATATTTAGGTGTCTGATTTTTAATTCTATAAAATGTTTAGGGCTCGTACTGCTAAATTGATTTTCATTGGTCCTGGTATGTGTTTTCTTTATAGGCTGCCGGGAGAAGGAATCTATTACTTTGTTTTTGAAGCCTTCGAGCAAGTATTTTATGTCCGGTTGTGTTGTTTCTTCGCACTTCGGTAGATTTGTATTGTGTATATTTGTTATCTCGGTCTTCATTGTGTAACGAGCGTAATTTCGGTGTGGTTGTGCTGCATGGTAGTGGGGTTTGTCCAGTTTGATGGCGAGCTGTGATCTGTGGGTTTACATACTTGGATCTCCTGTGGACTGTGTCTAACCTTTGCTCTTTCTCAACTATGTTTTCCGTTTATTGTTGCTCGTGCAAATTTTAAGAACGTGCATATTTTGTAGTTTGCTGGATGCTATATTCGCTGCAATTGATGCAGCCTAGTCTGTTATCTTCATTTTCTGTTCTATTGCATTGTTCAGGTAAATGTTGATCGAGACATTTTATTACATATCTGTATCTTAGTTTTCAGTTTTTGCTGCACGGAGTTTGCAGTTTTGGCAGTTGCGGACCAGCAATATCTGCTTTCCATGTATGGTTCCCATGTTACTGTTTGATATGCAATTGCTTTGATTTTTGTTAAATTGTTGGTTATGCTTGGAACTGAGTGTTGCATAAAGAAGTATTCTGATGCCCCTGGATTGGCGTTGAACTTTATTTTTGTTATTTTTGTGATTTTTAAATTTGCTATTTTTATGTTGATTATATCTGACAGGATTTCTTGTAACGAGTGATTTTGGTCTTATGTTTTTTGGCGCGAATATGTGTAGTATTTGTATATATAGTATGTAGTATTTGATACATTGAGTGATTGAGTGTTTATTTGTGTATTGCCATCCCCTGTGTCTTTGAGGGTAAAGTCGGTTATGGCGCGAGATGTGTCGAGTTTGCGTTATTCATTTATTAGCTGTATATTGGTGACGGTTTCATTTTTTTTTTACTTGTTGAATGTGGTGTTTAACAGTTGTGATTGAAGTTAGCTTCTCTCTACTTTTCCGCTTTCACTTCGTTTGCTTGCTGAATTTACGTTTTTGATTCTTCGTTTCGTAGATGGCTAACTTGGTTATTTAGTTTTACCGGTTCTATCATTGTTGCGTTTCTCATTTTCGTTTGACTTAATGAACATTTTAGTTGGAGCCATCTTCTTTCCATGTTTTCATTCTTTTCTTATTGATTGATAAATGTAGTTGGTGTTTCTCTGATTTTCTCGCCGTCGGTAGGGTAGGAATCTTTTCTCTCTCATTTATGTTAAGTTGTGATATTTTAGGTTGGTGATGTCTTCGTCCAATTCTTTAAGAGCTTTATTCTAATATTATAATATTTCCTGTCAAGCTGTTGGATGTTGCTTTTACTGCCCTTGGTTGTTGTGTTTGTTTTTAGCGCAGTTTTGCTTGCACTTCGTGTGCAGCACGGCGCCATTTTATGGTTCTCGTGCGGCGCGGTGGGCGAGACTCGTCGATTTCCTGCACCTTTGTACACGACATTTTTTCTTTTTATTTTTCTCTTGTAGTAGAGAGTATCCCTATCACGGAGACCACCAATTTTTCTCGCAGAGTTACCATGGGCGTACACTGTTACATTCTTTGGAGGTTAAGTTGCGCGCACTGACCAGAGGTGTCGATGTTTTGGTTCTTACCGCGCGATTTTGTGGTTACTTTCTCAATTAAGCTACCTAGATCGTCAGTGAATACTGTTCTCCAAATTCTTAAGCGCCACTAGGAGGCTCCTTATACAATCGAATAATTAAATACACAAAAATGTATATACATATTTATCACATATGATTAAATATAATATTAATAAATAAGAAGATATTTCTTATTTATATAAGATTCTTGTGGGAAATTCTTGTGGAATTCGATTCTCTGTTTCTAAAGATCGTGATAATACGGTATTGCCCTTACTTTTATACGTCGAGTCTTTATGGATTTGTAAGCTATAAGATTTTATAAGTTTCCAATTTCCGCGGGATCAGCAGTGGTTGACTTACTTTGTTTAGTTAGAAGGCTGATGTTATTCTTGTAACTATTTGCTTGTATAGGTTTCAATTCGTTTTTCAAAGACTTTTATTCGAAGTTGAATCATTAAATAAAGATACGAAGTCCAGCCATGACTGCTTTTTACCTTCTCCTATTATTTTCCTCAAGTTAGCCCTAATTTTTTTGAAGGCGACGAGCTTTTCAAACGAAATTAATGAAACGAAAGAACAAATCCATCGTTTAAAAAAGTGCTCCACCCAGTGATCTTTTGTTAGTATATCTTTACATACTGTAAGATATACTATACGCCGCTTAGAAACGTATATTTAACTAGATAGAATTTAAGAATTCCCTAAGTATATAGGTAGAAAAGTTATACAAATGGCAACGACTGTTTGAAACAAATGATCTTAAGGAGCTTCATCTACTCATTATCACTAGAACTATCACACCAGTCAAATTGACTGGTTTTACAATTTTATTTTAAAATTTCTTCTTCACGTTATATTTTTTTCCGCGATGATGTAATGCCTTTCGCAACGATAATTGAAAGAATAATATAATGAATTTTATTTTGTTTTTTATGTATTCAAACTGAAAATAATTTTGTATCAAGGCTACTTATACCAATAGCAGTCAAAATGACTGGTATTTGTCTAAGTGTAAAAGGGTGCTGCAATCTGTTTATCGAACTCCAATTAACCAATTTCCTCGTCTTCTACAACTTGCCACGCGTTTTTCAAATTTTTACCGCGTATCGTTCGATATGACGATATCAGATGTTAGAAAAATTCCGGATCGATCGCTAGATGCTGACACTGGAAATACCATAGCAGTGAAAAGGACTGGTTCTACAATTTTATAAACGTGTCGACTCTCGTTTAGAGATTATGGTCCCAGATGGATCAATAATACCAAAAATCTACTACATAACATGGAATTGCTTCTGTAAGAAAGTAATAAATCAATAAATATACAAATATTCTATTATTACGTATTTTTTAAAGATCAGTCATTTTCACTGCTTTTGGTAGAAATAGCTTCGTGTTAACTATCGGTAGTTCCAGTGTTAAAATGCTGAAAACATTCACGCAGAAGAAATTAGCAGTTACGGTTGAATCATTCATAAGACAATGGGTGCAGGAATTCAACACGGGTAGAAAAACTGTATGATCACGTTTTCGCCGCCTGTCTCTCATTAACCGTTTTAGTGCCAGAGGTTTTCAAGAATCCGTGTCGGATTGTACCATGCAGCGTGACAGCGTTTCGTTCATTTATTTGCGAGAAATTCTTTTCGTTTATGCAGGTGGTTTACGATTTAAAAGAAAAAACAGAATTACGAACTACTTTCGGAACCGAGCGCGTTGCGAATTGACGATTGTGACCAAACATCGCGACACAGTTTCACCACAGTACGTGAACAGCGTGATCGCGCTGCGTAGCGCTAAAACGGTTAAAGAGGATCTCAAGAAATACGTCTGCAATTTGTATTTGGAAGAATTTTACAATGGGATAACTCGACGTTGAAAACCGTCAAATATATTTTAAAATATCAGGTGGTATGACGTAATAGGTACCGAAGGTACACTCAAATACGTTCAACAACCAATAACGTTTATTAGATTCTATCACTCGATAGCAATGAACGATTAACAACGGTTGAATGACAATTAACAATTAACTACGGTTGACGCTTGAAGACGATTGACAACAGCGACGATCGACCGATCTGCGGAAAATAGCCGACTCGTTTCTCTTCACCATTCGCGCGTCACGGCTCGGGGTAGAATGTCCTTTTTGTTCCAGATCGAACGGATTCTTCCCTTCGTTGCCCATCGATATTCCCACTAGCGTGCGTTCGTTAGATGTGTCGCAACGGTTGGCGCGTGTATGCCCTTCTGAGAATTCGGCGGAAGAAACGTGAAGATATCGATGGCACATTGGACACGTCGGTGTCGCACTTTCACGGCGTAGCGCTTTGTATGACGAAGCCGTTGGGAAGTTCCGTGACACGTGCCGTCACAAATATTTAACAAATACATAGAATGTTCGTACTAACGAATTCGCTAGAATAGATCGCTAATAAGATCGCTAATAAGATCGCGTTCGTTTATTTATACTGGTCGGGGAGAGCCGGAAAATTCAAAATATCTTCGTCCGACGGTTGCACGTAGCGGCAACATTGTTTCGTCCGGAGTTTATTTATTATTACATCGCGTGTTTCCTAACGATATTGATACTCCGAGGCAACAACACGATTCGAATTGTCTTCCAGCTCATATCTCGCTACATTTCCATTTATCGCGTTTCGTTCTCTCCACAGACGCCCTGTGTACTCGAGAATTTTCCAACAAAATTTTTTCCACGAATCAACTACTGCCTCGAATACGCGCATACCTCTCTATCCGTTTGATCTCTCTCATCCACTGCCACTCTCGGACAGCTTGCTCAATGTGCTGTCTTGCTCTTTTATTGATAATGAATAGAGCAACGTCACACACGTAGGGACACGCGTTTCCAAGAACAATCGCCAGCAGGGAGGATACATATGCTTTCAATTTCAACGAGCAAAGGGGCAAATGGTCGCTAATAGCATTTTGATGAGCCTCTTTTCTTCTCTGTCTCGCACTGCACCATTCTCTCGAATAATCACTGTCTCTCGGTTCTCTTTCTCTTAGTTTCTCCATGCATTGTCAGTGCGTGTTTCGTGTGCATTCCGAGTGCAAGGAGGGGCCATGCTTAGTTCATTGATCATTCGGTAAATCGGTGACTCATGTGCAAGCCGGCATGCGTCTGCCCCTTTCTTTGCTTCGTTTTACTACTTCGCCCCTTTCAAAATGAAACGCTCGTTCGATCGTTACGCCCGCATAACGCGAAGCGTAGGAAACACGCGTCTATGCCTTGCCCTCTCGATAGTTAGCGTTGTAGAGCGGACCGTTGCTCAGGGCCGCCTGTACGTAGTCGCGGCACCCTGTGGTTCAGGATATTCTGGAGAAAATACAGAGGCGAAAATATATTAGGTTGTCCGAAAAGTTTCTTTCGTTTCATAAGGCGATAATTGACGAATAACAATTTCTCTTTTGTATTATTTCATTCGATTAGGTATGATCCATTTAGTTCTAATTCTATTATTATGTTCGTGCATAATTCAATAAACTATATAAAACAAAGAATATTGTGCGTCTATCATTTCCTTATAAAACGAAAGAAACTTTTCGGACAAGCCAATATATATAGAAACAACTTTTATAATTATAATACTATAATATAATACTAATTATAAATAAAAACACACACACACACATATCCATATTGTATATTGTATATATATTTACATATGTCATTTTATATATTATTTATTTTTATATATATTTTTATATACAGGGTGGTTGGTAACTGGTGGTACGAGCGGAAAGGGGGTGATTCTACGCGAGAAAAGAAGTCGAAAATATGGAATAGAAATTTTTTTTTTAATTTTTCCATCGAGACAACGATCTACAGTGAGATCCGTTATAACGAGACGCGATAAAGTGCCAAGCCTCGAACGAAAAATTTGTATTCTATATTTTCGACTTCCTTTTTCGCGTAGAATCACCCCCTTTCCGCTTGTACCAACCACCCTGTATATTTTATATTTATTTCATATATATACATATGTCATATAGATAGAGGAATTAAATTGAGAAGAGGGAAGAGCTTTTTTTCAAGAATAGACCAAATAACTTTATAGTGCATAGTGTAATATATTCAAGTTTAAAAAATGGTACATGTAGTTCCATTTATAATGGGATTCTACGTTCCCATGGGATTTAGACGAGTCAGAAAAATTGTAACGATGTAAAAACAATATAACACATTTTTCTAAAAGGTACTTTGGAACGTGTTGTGTAATTAGTCTATCAAAGATTTATTAAGTAGTTGCGATTAGGAGATAAAGGAAAAGCTATTTTCTTTTAGGATATTTAGTGTTATCACTCTCAGATTATTAAATATATTCGTTGATGTTTATTTAATATGTTTATGATTTGTAACTTATGACTTTATAAAATTCCATTAATAATTATAATTCGATTGTACAAGAGTTTAGTACAAATTAAATATGTTTTATCTTTTTTGCTATTTAATTATTTTGTTATAAATCTGCCATTTCATTTGTATCACGTAATTTATAATATTAAGTAGAGTAAATGATGATATTGGCTGACGGTATTTATATGTATAATTTATAGCTATCTACGGTACCCACTTGACACAAATGTGACGCGGATTAAAAATCACGAAATTGTAGAGAAACATTGCATAACAATTGATATCGAACAAATACCTACAGTTTTACAATATACAGATACAGTCAGACAAAAATTTCTCCGTGCACCCTTTAAAACAATAACTTTGTATAACTTAATTAACTAACTTAAAATTGCACCAAACGAATCAAGTTTTTTCGAGAAGTTAAAAAAATTAGTTCATAAAATTTTGTGAAAATAGAAATTGGTAGGTATGACGACGAAAAAAGTAAAAGTCACTTTTATAATAATAAAAGTTTTATCTGCGCTTACAATGAAAATTTGAACAACACACTTTGAACATGTATGTCAGTTAGATACATGCCGAAAATTTCATAAAAATCAATTAACGTTACTGTAAACTACGAGCGATTAAAAATAGTGAATTTTTCAGTTTTTCATAACTTTCGGCCTATGACTGTAAAAATAAATTTTGATATCTGTTGCTTGTGTTCGTACCAACCGGTTTCGGTGAATTTTTCACCATGTAATTGACATATGTTTACAAAACGTACTTTCTAAATTTTCACGATAAGCTCGGGAAAAAAGTTATATAACGTGATCTTTGGTACTTGCATCACCATTCCTATCAATTTCAATTTTCTAAACATTTTTTTCCCGCATCGTCTAGTTAAAACAATCCTTGCAATTTCTCGAAAAAGCTCAAGTCGTTTGGTTCAATTTTTAAAAAGTTACTCTACTTCAAAGAGTGTTTTTTGACTGACCATGTGTATTATGCACGTGAAAATTATCTGTTAGTGCACGATATTGTATCTAAATGATGACATTTCTACATATTACGAGGCTAATATAAGCGATTCGTATAAACATCTTCAGATTTATAACGGCAGAAAATTGTTTATAAATGGAATAAAATTTACCTACCATTAGTTTTCGATTGTAACTTTATGATTACTTTTTGACGATGGGGAGAATAATATTTCTACGCCTTTGACGTTATTATCATCGTATCAAAAAGCTATTTATGTCGTATTTGAGGAAAATGCGTAAGAATGTTATGATATGCGTGATTTTTCGTTTTACAATTTTTATTCGTAACATTACATTAAAGTTTTACTCGAAGCGTTCAGAGGTTGTTTATCTGTTAAAACTACAATGAAATTAGAATATAAAAATTTAAAACTCAAAAATTTTGAGTAGACTTGCCAAGTCTAAATTAATTTGTCGATTTAGATACAATTTATATAGGTGAAATATAATTGGACGGAAGTACAGTTTTGCGAAGCTATCATTTTTCCACTTGTACAGAATTTTAACTTTGCTTTACAAGATTGAACATTTATTGTTATTAAACCACATGAAAATTATCTTTGTAACTTATTCCTCGTATTTTCATTCCTTTGTGTCTTAAAAGTCTCTTGAGTGTGTATTGAGAAATCTACAAATAATAATTTTCTTAAATCTTTTATAAATGATAATTATGTATTTGTGAGTTTATTTATTTGAGAAATTATTCTGATCAATAATTTCGAGAAACTTACAATCAAAACGTGATAATAAGAATACTAGCTACTAAGTATCCTTGCTCCTTTCTGGCGTCGAAAATAATAATGGTAACTACATATTGGTATAATATGAATAGTTGTTGTATTGCTATTTACTAGCCTGATGATTTAGGATTATTTAAATTCTTTACATGTACATAGAGTTTATAATAAAGATGAAAGTTTAGGTGTAAAATTAGCCTTATCGTTAAAGATTTCTAATTTGGTTTAAAAGTTTAAAAAGAAAATGGAGCTCTATGTTTTACAAGTATTATAATGTTTTGTTCCGAGTGTTACAGTTTTTGCAAACATATTATGTTATTTGAGTAATATTTACATATACCAAATGCGTGTCCTGTCCTTTATAGTTAAGCGTCGTGTTTAAAGAAATTGGATAGTCAGATGCTTGCCGGGTACGATCAGCGTATCAGCGATGAACGTATCGGAAAAATTTGCTTGCTTAACTTGTGTTTAAAGAAATTAGAAATGAAGTTAGTGTACATATGCGCGGGACAATTAAAATAAATAAAATACGTGATAAATAAAATAAATGAAACTACATGAAATCAGTTGAAACATTTTTAAAACATTGTTGAAAATACTTCTGAAAGGTTAAATAACGTTGTAAAAATAAATTTAGTAGAGAAATTTTCCAACGTTTGAAAAACAGCGT